GCTTAACAACCGTGTGACTAATTTAACGACCGTAGTGATTTCCTCAATGGCTGTAGCCAGAAAGGTGGCAAAATGGGTTGAAAAAACCCCTCCTTAGCAACTGTCTCGCTTAGCCAAGGAAATTTGGTTTGTACGTGGAGGACTACCTGTAACACGCAGAGTCTTGAATATTTCGGTGAATTTGGGAAAAGAATCGGCGCCAAAAATGTCCTATCTCTGATGGTGAGGTTTTTTTTATTATTATTATTATCCCTGCCTTTCTTCGCTTTTTGGTTTGGCAAAGCTGCCTGTTTGCAATCAATAGAAAAAAAGGGGAATAAATCTGCACCATTGCTACGGCTACAAAGCAGCGCCAAGAAATATTTCGCTCCTTGAATACCAATTGTAACCCTGAAACCTTTCCGTGGATGGAAATATGGGCTCCGGAGCGAAATGATGGCCTGATTCTGGAGCGCTCCGCTTATTTCGGGGGGGGGGGGGGGCGAGATGAGCCAGCTGAATAAATGTGTAATAACAACAAAAATTACAAAATGAATCGCACTTTTTATTTTATTTTTTTCCCCCTTTTGAACAAAGTTTCACGAACCTGCGCCCTTCGATTACGTTTCCTTTGGTTCTTGCAAGGGTTAGTTTTGCGTTATTTATTGATATATTCCGCCTTGATTGTTTTGGGAAGTAATTCAGGCCGGCGAATAAATGTAACTCACCTTCCCCCATCTATTTTCCCCACAACGACAAGACTGTGAGGTGGGTTGAGGACAGAGGGAGGAAAGGAGGGAGGGAGAGAGAGGGAAGGAGGGAGAGACTGGCCCCATCCAACTGGCCTTCATGGCTAAATTGGGACTAGAACTCCCATCTCCTGGTGATTGGCCCCAAGACACCCAGCTGGCCTTCATGGCTAAATTGGGACTAGAATTCCCATCTCCAGGTGATTGGTTCCATTTCACCCAGTTGGCCTTCATGGCTAAATTCGGACTAGAACTCCCATCTCCGGGTGATTGGCTCCATTTCACCTTCATGGCTAATTTGGGACTAGAACTCCCATCTCCTGGTGATTGTCCCCATGTCACCCAGCTGGAATTCATGGCTAAATTGGGACTAGAACTCCCATCTCCTGATGATTGGCCCCAAGACACCCAGCTGGCCTTCATGGCTAAATTCGGACTAGAACTCCCATCTCCTGGTGATTGGCCCCATGTCACCCAGCTGGCCTTCATGGCTAAATTCGGACTAGAACTCCCATCTCCTGGTGATTGGCCCCATGTCACCCAGCTGGCCTTCATGGCTAAATTCAGACTAGAATACACACACACACAAACACACACACACAAGGTAAAGGTTCCCCTCCTACATTTGTGCTAGTCGTTCACGACTCTAGGGGGCGCTGCTCATCTCCGTTTCAAAGCCAAAGAGCCAGCGCTGTCTGAAGACGTCTCCGGGGTCATGGGGCCAGCATGACTCAAGACTGAAGGCGCATGGGACGCTGTTCCCTTCCCACCAAAGGTGGCGCCTATTTTTCTACTTGCATTTCTTACATGCTTTCGAACTGCTAGGTTGGCAGAAGCTGGGACAAGCTCACTCTGTTACGCGGCGCTGGGGATTCGAACTGTCGAACCTTTCTGATCGACAAGCTCAGCTTCTTAGCCACTGAGCCACCCCGTCCCTGTTTGTGTGTGTGTTTTGTGTTTGTTTGTGTTTGTGTGTGTGTTTGTGTGTGTGTGTGTGTGTTAGCACATACGCTTCAGAGCTTTTTTTTGGAGGGGGGGGAAGCAGAAAAGCATTCCCGCCCCTACCCTCATTTGGGAGGGAGATAAGTAGATTGACTGCAGTTGGGATTTATATCCGAACCATCTGTGAGTTCTGTTTGCTTCTCTCTCTCTTTTGCCTTCCCTCCTCCTCCTTCAAATGTCTTCACAGCTCTATTTTCAAGCAATTATTCCGCCTGGATAATAATAAAATATTTCACTCTTATGGCGGGCTAGATTCTCCTCTCCTAAATTCCAGAATAATTCGCTTATTCTTCATCTTTTGGAGGTGGTGGGGAGGTTTTGCAAAGACAAGTATCACTTTTATAACGCACTGCGGCTCAACCATAAAGCCAAATTATTGCTGCCGATAAAAAAATACACCGAGGTTTGGGGGACGGGGGTCTTTTTTCCCTGCAGAAATAGCACGACGAATATCTCTGGGAAAGTTTTATCTGTTTTCTCTCCTTCGCGCGAAAGTGTTTTCTTGGAAGGAGAAGGTGGGAACTTCTTGCGGTGACTTCAGATGGCAAGGATTTGATTCTCAGAGTTGTATTTTTGGGGGGGAGGATTGTTTGTTTCTGTTGCTCCCCTCTGGGAGGGTGTTTCGAAGTGTTTCTAGCAGGCCTACCTGATTCTGGAACCGTTCTGACCCAGGCTTCCCGAGAGCATGAAGCAAACTCCTTGTCCTGACAAAAAAACCCCTTTTATTAATTTCCTGTGGATTCTGCTCATTCACATCCAGCAAAGTCTTTTGAGGGAGGATTTATGGTCACAGACCTTATCTGGCTTGGAGAGTTGCCAGGCCCATATCTGCAAAACTCAGCAAGGAGCCTCTGAGAGTCACGAACCAATGAAGCGAACAATTGCCTCCTCCAAACTCCACTCCCCTTTCGCTCCTCTTTTATTCCTTCTGGGAGGGGCCATTCATCATCCACCTGTACTCCCAAGTCGACCCTTGTTCCTTAGCTGTTCCCTTTGTCTGGCAACTCTGTGCACACTGGAAACAGGCTCCAGCTGTTCTTCTGCTCCACTGATGTCTGATTCTGAAGGCAGCTGATAACTGGCATACAGCCCTGGTCCCCTCTCTGCCTCTGACACAGAGTCCTCATCCGAGCCTTCCCCAGACTCCAGGACTGGCCCATCTTCCTCCCCAACTTCCTCACTGGCCGAATCTGCTGCCAGCTCCTTTGGCTTCTATTCTATTCCATTTTATTCCATTCTATTCCATTCTGTTTCATTCCATTCCTATTCCTCTTCCTCTTCCCTTTCCTATTCTATTCCTATTCCATGCCATTCCACTCTAAACTATACTATTCTGCATTTTCTTCTATTCTATTCTGTTCTATTCTATTCTATTCTATTTCTATTATTTCTATTTCTGTTTCTGTTTCTGTTCCTGTTCCTGTTCCTGTTCCTGTTCCTGTTCCTGTTCCTGTTCCTGTTCCTGTTCCTATTCCTATTATATT